CTCCTGCCCTGTTCCCAAGCTCCTGGCAGCATTTCCCAAGTCCAGTGAAACTGAGACTCGCTCCATCACACTGTAACAGCTCCTCAGATTTGCAGAGGGTAGGACAAATCCACCCCAGAGGCATCTCCTGCCAAGGCACTCTGTAACTGCTGACCCAGCCTGGCCTTGGCTGTTCATGCCACTTACTTGGCAATGGCCTCGTCCCGGTCCCTGATGGCCTGCAGGAGCCGTTCACTTGTCTCCTTGTCTTCGGCAGCTCCTCGCAGCCGGTCCCGTTCCTCCTTCAGCGTCGTCATTTCCACACTCAGCAGCGTGACCTGTGGGCAGAGGGAAGGTGTGAAACCAAGGGCTGCTCAGGCAAATTCACCATGAGTGTGTGGAAAAAACCCCACACGGGCCAACCTGGAGGCTGAGCTCCTCTGCTTGTAGGAGAAGCTGTGTCTGCTGGGAGGGGGCTGTTAGTGCTGGTGCAACACCTCATTAAAGTGTGCTGGCCTTCCCAGGGATGGTGGCAGTGCTGGTCTCAGTGAGATGGTCACTAAGCCTCAGTAACATGCAGAAACAGCACTGAAAGCAGAGCAGGACCCATCTGTGACTTTGCTGTCACTATGGCATCGGTACTAAAATATTGCCCCTCTCCAAGCAGTTTGTCTTGTGAATGCATCCTCTGGGCCTGCCTGTTGTAATTCTGATCTTTCCAGGGTTAAATTATTGCTAACATAATTTAGCAGCAAATAAGATTTTTTGAAGGGGCCATCACGTCTCCTGTAGAATGAAGCTGTAGACAAAGGATGTGAAAATTCCCTTTCGTGCCATGGAAGGTGTTACTGGCACATCTTACAATTTTAATTAGACTTTAAAATATGTGTGGAGTCTTAAATAGTCTGAGAAATGATCTATCGTTTTGGTCCTGTGCAGAGTGAGTTAATAGGGTGTGAAATCATGCAAGGATTGCATTAGCAGAGCTTTGCAATATTTCATACACGTTTAATTTCTTTTGTCTAGGGCACACACATGCTCTGTTACACTACTCCATCACCTGGAAACCCTTCCAGCATTTGACCCACCTCCTGTCTCTAAATGCAGCTCAGTAGTGCTTGAATCTTCAAAGAAATCTTTAAATAGAGGGCAGACAGTCAAAAAGGGCTCATCACATCCAGGGCGTGGGAGGATCTGCCGTTAGTGCAGCGTGGCTGGGCCGGGGGGAGGAGGGTGTGAAGACGCCCTGTCTGTGTGCAGAGACTCCCCACGGTGTCCCAGGGCTGCCAGGGAATTGGGGAGCTGTTCCTGAGCCCTGCCCTCCCACAGCCCCCCGTGGGGTGCACCTCAGGGCAGCAATGGGGCAGAGAGCAGTAGTGGGGCAATGTGAAAGGTGCTGAGCACTTCTGCAGAATTCCCAGGGGACAGAGGATCAAGAGGCCCAAAACACAGTGTTTGGGGAACCATTTGGGATTTTAACTAGTTTTATCTGTGCTTCAGGTAAGAATGGGATGCCACTGAGGGAGAAGACAGACAGGGAGAAGATGTGAAACCACTTCCCAGTGTAGACAGAGGCAGGGGTGACTCCCATCTCCACCAGCTCACCTTGCTCTCAGGCAGAAGCAATGAATGTGTGTGGTGCTACAGTTCCAAAAGCCATTTAGGAGGAGTTTCCCTTTGATTGTATCAATACCAGTGACAGCACAGAGGGATGAGGAGGCAGCAGAGCACTGCTCCCCCAGGTTGGACCAGATTTCCATGTGCATCGATTTTCTTTAGCACCTGAACAGAAGATGATGTTGCCTCTTCGGTGGGAGGTGAGAATAATTATTAACGTGGAGCAAGTGCAAGGATGAGTTACAGGCAAAAGCTGTGGGAGATGTGTGCTTGCTGTGAGAGGCTGGAGGATTTCTCCAAGAGCAATGTCTGCTACATTTGTAGCTATGCCCCATCTTTCTTCATATCACATAGAGGTGTAAGAAGAAAATAGAACTGCAGTTTTCCCTTTGTTCACTAAATATTCAGAGCTCTGGTAGTCAGGGACCCCTAAAAGCAGAGACAGGGTTCCAGAGTTGCGATCCAGGCCAGGTCTTCTGGTCCTTCTTGGCTGGGGAGTTTGGGAAGATCAGTCACAGCAAAAAACAACCACGTGCTGCTCTCTCCTGGTGTCCTGTCAAGGCCTCGTGTGTGAGGTGCTGCTCCAGACACACAGGGTGGTGTACAGGTGGTCACTCAAAACGTGTGAAAGAGCCTCAAAAGGTCTCGGTCAGCAGAGCCAGGTTGCAGTCATCAAGCCCTTGTCTCCTCCATCTCAGGTGTGTTTAAGGATAAAGGGGGACCTGGGGGTGATGCACAGGATCATGGCAGCACAGCCAGAGAAGTGTCTGGGCTCATGTCTTGCTGGGGGGGAAGTTTGGACCCCCAGTATTGTCTCTTTTGGTGGCCACATCGCTGAGAGGAGCATCCCTCCGAGAAGGATGGGCTCCAGGGCTGCTCCCCTTCTCCACTCTGCCTCTGACCAGCTGCTCTGTCAGCAGGACCATTTCCCACCCCCCCACACAGGCAGCCATCACTGCTGGCGTATTTAATGATGCTCTCACTCTTTTCGGTCCCGTGGTGGGAGCCCCCACAGCCCTACACAAGGCTGTCAGACTTGTGCTGACTTTCTGAACAGGGATGTTTTCCTATTTATTCTTTAAGGGGTTACATCAAAAGGGCAATACAGCACCATTGCCAAGACCAGTGTTAATCCCATTCCCTGCTCCAGTGCAGTTGGCGCTGCACAAGCACCTTCAACAAAGGATGCTACTGCTGCAGCCTCTGGATCCCCTCCAGCATTTGGAGTCTTGTCCCACAGAAACAGGGATTGCAGAGCATCTCCTTGGGTGCCTCTCTCCATTTACTGCTCTTGGCATAGGACCTCAGACATGGGTGATGCTGCGTTCAGTGCGGTTGCAGTGGGATTCTGTGCCTTGGGTGTGGAGTTGGTTTCAGGGCTGGATCATTTGTTGCTGTTGAGATTGTCTCTGCCCTGTTGGCCCTGGGGTGACAGGCTGGCCATGATTAGGATTCTCTGGGTGTGCATTTCTGTGCATCATTGTGATGCTGCTATGGAAGGAGTCAAACCCTGCTTCATGCACAGCAGAGCAGCATTGTTATATCCATCCAGGGGATGTATATGTCTTTCACAAGGGCTTAAGGCAAGCAGCTTGGGTCAGACTGGAAACCTTTGGGTTTCTAGTACCCCATATCAAGCAGACTTGTACTTTGGGGTCTTCTGCTGAGATGAACTTAAGCAACACAGATTGGCTGAAAAGTGGACTGGGAGAAAGGTTTAAAGGAAGTTTGGCTGTTTGAGACAATGCCTGGGATGGATCCCAGACAACCTGTCAAAAACTCTCCTTCTAAATGCATAAATCCTCTGCACTGGGTTTAACAATGTCTCCCTCATCCAGCCATAGGTGATTTTGGCCTAAATCCTCCTGGGTTATTTATCGTGTTGATCTCTTCGATGGAAGGCATGTCTTGGAGGATGAACACTGGTGTTACAAGACCACATGTAAAGTGTGGGGATTGCTAACCTGGCTGTGCAGTCGCTGCAGCTCCTCCAAACTCTGCCTCAGTTTCCCCCGTTCTCCCTCCATTAATTCCCTCAGGGCTCGTGAATCCTCACTTGTTCTCCTGATCTGTTCCTCTAACATGTCGTCGTCGCTTCGTCGAGAGCTCTGAGAGCGGGAGAGAAATCTCTTGCTCAGATTTCACTTTAAAAAAGGCAATTGCATTAATTTGATACCGGTTTGGGATGGAGGTACTAAACAAGGAAGAAGAAAATGTGAATGTGACCTCGGTAGAGTTTCAGGGTTTTTCCCAGATACCTCCACAGCGGAAACGTGCTCAGCCAGTGGTGGTGCTTGTACACATGATACAAAGAGCATGCAGAGCTTAACACAAACCAAATGTACAGAGACCTGCTTGGTAACATATGGTTACAATCTCTGTGTTTGTGGACCTTTTGCAGGACTTTCCACATTTTATTTAACAAATACAACTTCATCTCTATACTCAGCCTACTTGCAGCTGTTGTGGATCCTTAAACGAGGAGGGTGAGTACTCCCATGCAGGTCTGCAGCTGCAGGGTCTGCACTGTGTTCCTCACCATGGCATCTCAAATAAGTCATCCTGGCAATGCAACCAGCTTGTGGGGGATGGGAACAGGCCTGATTTGAGCCATTGTGAAAAGTGAGGTGTTTTCTTGTAATTCTGCACTCCTGTGGATGCTGAGTGGTCCTCCCCTCCTGCTCAGCAGCCTGGGGACAATATCCCACAGACATCATCTTGTGCCAGCAAAACCTTTCACCTGTCTGGCAGCTCTTGCCATGACATTCATACCCAGTGACAATTTGCAGGGACAGAACCTACCCACATAGGGGTTACGATGCTTTTGTGATGCTATTGCTAATGAAGCAAGGTTAGGAAAACCCTAAGAGAAATAACTGAACTGTGATGTATAAGGCAATCTGCAGTATTTCCACGTTGAAACTCTAACTTACTGAAAATCTCAAAGTAAGCCTATGTTTATTAATTTTCCAGAATGACTCCCAGGCCAGCGACGGTTGCACGAGCTTGAAACTTTAGGTGGTCTGACCACTGCAGGGCTGAAACCCCACATGCTTGGCTCTTGTCTGACCATTTGAGACACATGCAGCAGGCTGTGCACTGTGACAGCCCATCTCTGTGGGCCACAGAGGTTTTCTTGGAAACTGGGAACTTCAAGATCCAGCAGAACCTGCAGCAAGCTCTGTCACCTGGGCCCGGGACATGCACAAGCCAAGGTGTCTCTGTGCCACCAACTTACCGTGGAGTCTGCCCCATCCAGCACATTTTGTATCAGTCTTTTGAGCTCACTGAGAGCTGCCCGAAGGCTCCCGGCTGGGACGTCTTTGGCTGATGAGGTTTCTGAAGACTCGTCCATGGAGGAGTCTGTGGAGACGGCTGAGTCCGCGCTGTCGTTCCCTCTGAGGTGGGAGCAGAGATACCGCACTTGGCAATAGGCCTCCCAGAGCTGCAGCCTCAGCTGAAACAAGAGACAAGAGGCTGGGACATCAAGGCCATGGAAATTCTCCTTCTGTGGTAAAGTGAAGCATGTGTTTGCTGAACCTCACAAATATCTGTCTAGCTTGCTCTGTTGGTTTTGAAATGGATGCAGAGGTTTGGCTTCATATGGTCAAAAGAGTGTTGTTCCCAATTTTCTGGCCCTTAGTTTAGCTCCAAACCCAGATCAAATGCAATAAACTCCCTTTCCCTCAGGGGCTGGTCACAGAGGGCCCGTGGGCTTTCCCAGGGGCTGGAGGGCAAATACCTGCTCTCGTTCTTGTTCCAGCTCCTCTGCCTCCATGCTCTGCTCTATCTCAGATAGGAGGGACGTGCTGGTTGTGTTGAGGTTTTGGAGGCTTCTCTCCTCACTGAGCTCCTCTACCTTCCCCTGCAGCTGCCGGTAGGACAGACGCACCTCCTGGAGCTCCATCTGGCTTTGGTGCAGCTTGTGAAGAAAATCAAGGTATTGGAAAAAAAGTATTAGTGGAGGTGATAAGGACTGGATGAATCTCTTGGTTTCTGAAGGAGCTGAGAGGGAGAAATGAGTGACATAAAGCAGGGTTTCCAGCCAGGAGAAAAGTACTCTTGGCTGGTGTTGCTATTTATTGGAGCTTAATAATCTCCAAATGTCATTAGACATTGTTTAGACTCCAGAATATCCTGAAAGATAAAAATAGCAAGTTAATCAGCACTAAAATGAGAAACATTGTGAAAAAGTTAGGACTCAGGTAAAACAATTTGCTGAAAACAACACAGTAAGAAATGAATCCAAAAAGAAAGTGATACAGACAGATTTTTAAAAAATATATGCACAAATACAAATACATGTTAAAAAAAGGAAAAAATTTTCAGGGCTGTTTTGCAGACCTGGGGATTCAGGGGTTGTCAACCCATGGCAGCAAAATGGAAAAATCTTACTCTCTCTCAAGATGTCATAAGCCCCAGAGGTGCCAGGTGGTTCTCTGGGGAGTGATGTTTGGTGACACATGGCTGTGAATACCATGGGAAACTGTCTGAGCAGTGAGAGCCACGAGACCAGTGACTGCCCTCTGGGACAGCAGCGTCTAAAGAAGCCCTTTCTGAAGCCAATTCTACTATTAGAAAATTAACTAAAATGAACTACAACCAAAATTCTCTGCTTGTTCTGACATGTACCTAATTTCCCTGGCACCCTGTCCCACTCCCTTGCTCAGATCTCCCTCCTAAGCTGCTCTTTGCTGTCACTGAGGCTCCTGTTATCTGTTCCCAGATCCCAGGAAACACCTGGGACCTTACTTGATGCCATGAGGCATTTTATTCTATGGATTTATGAGTTGTTTTGACTCTCAGTTCTTGATTATCTTCCTGGCCAATTTTGCCCTAAAATGTGTCTTTTACTGCATTTCCCCATCCCTTCCCTGCCTCACTGCTGCCTCCTCACCTGCAGGTCCTTGTCATGGCTTTGTCTCTCCAGGATGAGCACTCGGTCCTGCAGCTCCTCCACGGTTCCCTGGAGCAGGTCGTTCTCCTCCATCATGGCACTAAGGCGATGCTCCAGCTCCCTCTTCCTGTCCGTCAGCATTTTGATCTGCAGAGGAAAGAGAGGCAGTGTCAGAACCCCACACTTTGCAGGAAGCAGAGAGGAGGGAAATCACATTCCGGAGAGAGAAACGAAACAGCAGAAAAAAGCCAGAGTATGTGCATAAGTATTCTGTACTTGTATGAGAGAAACTGTGTGTGTGGTTTAAAGCTTAGGAAGGCTCTGGAAGGAAACCCTCCTTCTCCAGGCTGCAAAGGCAGCTCTAAAGGGGGTGGGTGGGCATTGGCAGGTCAGGGAGCAGGCAGAAATGTCCAAAGGGATTAAGCAGAGACCAGCCCTGCCCACCCCTTCTACCTTAACATTTGCAAGACCTGGCAAAACTAGTTACTTTTCCTGGCTAGTCCCTGACTGAGCATGGTGGCATTTTCTCCTGTATGGGTGCTGAAGATCACAGGGTGAGCCAGCAGGATCCAGGGTGAGCCTGTGGGATCCTGCTCCCCACAGGGCTGTGCCACAGCACTGCTCATAGCTGTTCTTAATTGCTGTGTGTTCATCAGGTCCTCATCAGGGATTTTTCTGTCTTTTTCCTTGTGAAGACTCCTTTCTGTGCCATGCTTATTTTTAGCCTCCCAGTGATCAGTTGCCTTTAAAATTGGTTCATTTCTTTTAATTGTCAAGGGCAGTGATTTCAGGCGGAGGGACAGCGTGCCAAACAAACCCTCCATGACTCAGTTAGCTGGGAACAGTGCACAGGATGAATCAGCACTAGCCAAGGTCACTTCTTGTTTAACCAAGAAGAAGGAGCCTTTTCCCAGATTAGTACACACAGGATCTCTGGGGACTGGCATGCCAGCCATCCACCAGCCCAGTATAACTCTAAATAGTCCCTATGGCCTCCTTTCAACCCGTGGACTGTAGACAAATTCAGCAACTTCCCATTGTTTTCTTGGCCTTTTTAGGACCTTGTCTCTTTGCTGCTTTCCAATTGTTGGAAAGATTTGGCTGCATAAAGGAAAGTTAGCCAAGTGTGTTGACTTGCTATTTCCGTAGGGTAAAGGCTGCTGGAGGTATTGGAAGCTGCTCTTAGGTGACTAATGGCTTCTGAGATGTCTCTGCCCACCACCATCATGATTTGAGAGGGTTGGAGAAAAAAAATAAGAGGTTTAATACAGAGGTTGTAGCAAGAGTTTGTATTTGGCAGCCAAACCAGTAATGAACACAGTGTGAACAACTGTATAACAGAAAAAAGAACCACTCTGCCGTGAGCCCTGGGCCATGGGAAGGACATGGGGAGAATGGGATTTGGAAAGCAAAACAGGAGGGAGGTGAGGAGGCAAGGTGGGCATGCACAGTGACAGGCATGCATGGTAACAGCGATGTACACGCAGGCAAACCCTTCCAAGCCTCCGTACTTACTTCAAGGACCTGCTGCTCCACACCAAGGGGAGGGGAAGAAAAGGCGAGGGACCAGCAAGGAGCAGGTGGGAGTGGGAGAAAAGAACAAATTGAGAGATTTTAGGAAAAGCTTTTCCAGACGGCCTTTAAATAAAAGAACTGGTTGGGCAGTAGAGTTGGACATCTACTTGTGTAGTTCCTGGCTACATGGTTCCCAGTGACACCTCATCAGGGAAGGGAAGAGGAAGGAAGGTTGTATCATTCCTGCTAATGTACCACAGTTAAAACAGGCAGGGGCTCCTTGCTTTCCCAAGTGCGTGGCTCAGAGGCAGGAGAGGATTGCTGCTTTCTTCGCAAGCATGAGGAACAGGATAAAAAAAACCTCTTGCAGTCCTTCCCACCATGCCCCAGAGTTTAACCCAAACTGGGCAGCAGCCCTGCAGGAGCACAGCCATGGTTTAGCTCCTGGAAGATCCTTCTCATCCATTCATTTTCCGGGCATGCTGTGGCCAAGGCAGCACTGGAAGCCTGAGCCAGCCCAGCCATCCCTGGGCAGCAGCAAAAATTCCTGCTGGAGGAGTCCTTTGCCCCACTGCTGCCACCCCTCTGTTTGCTCCAACAGCAGGTTCTGTTTACTCAGTTCAGGGAGGGTCATTATACAAGCTAAAACAGCCCTGGCTGCCTTTTGAAGGAGCAGGGCCTAGCACAGGTGACTCACCTCGGCCTGGAGGCTCTCCAGCCGCACGATGTGTTGGCTGCTGGAGGAGTTCTTCTCCCGAAAGTCCTCCCGGAGGGTGTGGACCTGCAGGGAGAGCTGCCGCTCCACCTCTGACGCCTGCAAGGAGACACCAGCTGGCGTTACCCCAAGGGTCATCGCACAGACCCAAAGCAGTTATCTCCTCCTGCACAGGAGACCTGCCCTCGTATGACTTCTGCAGAAGTCCTAGTTTTGGCAGAAACTCTGAATCCTGCACTGTTTGGGTGAGTGAAAAGCTCATCCCGGACAGACGTTGAGGAGAGCTGCCATTTAGACCATGCTGATTTTTCCCTCGGGGCAGCCAAGGGGACACAGCCCTTAACTTCCTTCCACTGCAAAAATAACATGATGATTCCCGTGTCCTACAGGATAATCAGTTTTCCTCAAAAATAGTAGCCTAGTTGAGGTTGAGGAGGAGACCAGGCCACTTACAACGGTGAGGGGAGCCAGTCTCCACAGCCCCCAGCAAACACTGCTATTAGACTTATACTTTTGTAACCTCTGAACATCTTTGGCACAGCTCTAGAATAACAAGTGCTCTTTGCCTATGATTCCCAGCTCCCGTCAGGGCCAGATGGAGAAACATCCGCTCCACACGACTGCCAGTGCAGGATGGCTGGGCTTGTCCCTCTTTCCCACGTTGAAGGAGGGATGCCCCACTTATGCAGGGTGGTTTGAGGACACTGGAAAGGCCATTCCCACCTGCAGGATCCAGGCTGCAGACAGCCCTTATAAATGACAGCTTAGACATGTTAACTACTCTCCAGACAGCTTTATGGCTCATTTTTACATGGGGAACACACTTGTTTAGGCTTGTAAGAGAACATAAGCTTTTTATGACAAATCCCTAATGAGACAGCACGAATGGATGGTTTTCTATTTAATTAGCCTCCATCAGGCTCCATTACACTTAGGCACAGACCTCCACCTCTGGCACATTAGCTGGAAGTGAATTGATTCCCCTCAAGAGGTGGCATTGCCATCCTGCTCAGACATCCTGTACAGGTGGCATTGACGTCCTGTACAGACAGAGCTGTGTGTCCAGTGGCAAAAGCCATCAGCAACCATAATGTCTCAGACAGGGAGGTGAGATGGGAGGGAGGGAGGGGGGTCAGCAGCTCTGGGCAAGTTTGGGAGTGTATCCTTATGTCTGGCAAACGTGGGTCAGGATTTGACTCCGGGACAGAGTTCCCAAGGAGGAGCCCCACCAAAGGGTGCAATGGCTTTGCTCTAGCACCCTGTGACTTGAGGAATGAGCACACAGACCCAGCCTGAGCTGCCCACAAAGGCAACACTACCCTCTTTTAAAAATGGTCCCTTATTTTGCACAGTCTGCAGCAAAATATTTCAAATCAGAAGCATGAGGTAAAAGGCTGTTCCAGCTCCATCAGGTGGAGGAAAGTGTGGTTGCCCCAATGCTGCTTGCTTGGAGGGGCAGCAGCAGACAGAAGCGTGTCCACCAAAATCAGCCAGGCTCTGACCACTGGCTTCTGGAATGAGAAATGGTTTCCAATAATAAGAAATATTCTTGTCTACCAATTGTTTTTTAGTTCCCTTCTTATCCTGGATTGGCATAACTGGTCTTTTACCCTTCTTTAAAGCCTCACATCAGAGCCCTTTGCATATTGCCCTCACCTCACTTATTAAATAAAGCTTCTTTGCACTGGCAAGGTACTCAAAATATAATGATAGCACAGCCCTATGGGAAGGGGTTGGTTATTTTTCTTCGCTTAGGCAGCTATAGGTTTCAAAGCATCCTAAGCAGCTATTAATTGGTGACACTAAAGAAGATGGATGGATTGTGCTTTTCTTGAATGATTCACTTGCTTTTGTAATGACTGCTGAAACATCTTCGTGCTGAAACACTCTGCAGGAGCTATCAAGGATGAAAAAGCACCAGCTGAAAAGTACCGAAGGATTTTGCCTGCAAGATGCTGACCACACTCCCAAGGAGCACAAGTGGCACCAGTGGAGATGACACACCAGAATTCGATGGTTCACTGTGTAACATAATTGATATGCTTGAACAATTCTACACACAGAGAGTGTAAATGCACAATACAGCAGTAAGAAACAAGGGACTATTAATGGCACTGTAAAAATTCCCAGTAAGACAATAGATAGCTGCTCTTGCTGGTTCTGCTCCCCATGCTCAGACTGCAGCAGGTGAAGGGATGAGCTGCAAGGATGATTCAGATTGTGGAAAGTCTGTTATACGAAAGGAGACTAAAAAAGGATTGTTTTATCCCATGCAGTGAATGCTGAGAGAGGACTCCCTATAAATACATCACGGATGAGCACACAGAAGGGAGAAGCGCTATTTAAGCAGAAGTACAATTTTGGCAGGAAAGAATTATGTGAATAAACTGAAAAAGAGTATATTAAGGTTGGGAATAGGAAGATTTCCACATTTCCAAGGAGCTGCAGGAGGATTCTTCCTCCTGCATTCTTACAGTAGTAGAAATGGTGGCAAAAAATTAATTTTGTGATGGGGCTGTATCACTTTATCATGTAGTTTCTTTTAGAGGGCTGCCTATGACAGAAGGGAAATGAATTGACCTCAAAGGTCCTCTCCAGTAGCAGACTGCATGCAGGACTATAAGATTTGTATTCACCAGCATTAAATCATCATCTGAAATTTATCTACATGCTGCTCAGCTTACACGCTCACACATCTTATTCCTGCAGTTATAACTCACATGGAGGGAGGAAAGCACTCAGTTATGGTTAGTATTTAGGTCCCTATGGCAGATGGAATGTTCCAATGTCACCTCAGTACACACCATTCACATCCTACTTCATGCAGTAGAGAATAGTAAAATTAACACTTTCTTTAGCCTCATACACAGTGCAGACAACTCTCT